CGCCGGCGCGCGGGGCAGCTGCTGGGCGCGCTGCGGGCGCTCGCGGGCCTTGCGCTGCGCTGCGCGGCCGCGATGCGCGGCGCGGCTGCGGAGGCGCGGCGCCAGCAGCAGCATGCAGGAGCAAGCGCGGCGGACAACGCCATAGATGCACAAGAGGGCGGCGCAGGAGCCGGCGCAGCGGCTGCAGCAGCAGCGGGGCAGGCCGAGGATGGCGAGGAGGAGCAGTGGGGGGGCGTGGGTGCCCGTGAGATCGCTGATCTGGTGGACATGAGCGCGGACGAGGTGGAGGACCTGCTGCGCAGCAGCTGCGGCGGCGGCAGCGACGGCGGCGGCGGCGGCGCGCTGACCGCGGCGCTGAGGCGGCGCACCCCCATGAGTGCCGCGGGGCAACGGCCGCGGCAGCAGCAGCAGCAGCAGCAGCAGCAGCAGCAGCAGCAGCAGAAGCAGGTTGGCGAGGCAGGCGGCCTCCAGCTGCTGAGTGATCTGGAGGAGGCCCTCGCCCAGCTGCAGGAAGGCCTGCTCGCCGGCGGCCCGACTGCCAGCGCCGCCGCCGCCGCCAGCATAACGCCCAGCGGCGCCTCGAGTCCGGCCGCCAGCTGGGACGCCGGCGGCGGCCGGGGGCTGGCGGCGACGCTCAGGGACAGCGGCGGCAGCGGCGTCTGGGGGCATCCCGCACCCACGCCGGCGCGCGGCGCGGCGTCGCGGGGCGGCAGCCTCCGAGGCAGCTTGGACGGCGGGCTGGGGCTTGCAGACGGCGGCCCGCACAGCAGCAGGGAGGGCCTGGCGGCTGCCTTTGCGGCGGGCCCGCTCACCGCGGAGGGCGCCGTGCCCGTGGACGGGCGAGGGGATGAGGGCGCGATTGGGCGTGTGCTGAGGGCTCTGACGGAGGAGGTGGAGGATGCGGGCCGCGCGCTGCAAAGCGCGTCGCTCGGCTAGGCCCGGCGCCGGGCGCATGCTTTACAGCAGGGTTGACGCTTGACGACTTGACGACAGCACTGCGGCTTGAGTAGACTACGACGATGACATCACCGTGACTCTGAATGCGCCTGCTCGGGTCTAATTGTACCGACTGGATGAGCCTTGTACTGGCAACGGCCTAGTGTGATTGTTTTGGCATGACCCACCGGTTGCGCAACCGTCACAACTTTTGTGCCACACCGCATGCTTGTGCCTGGCCCGCCCTGTGTGGAGTAAGAACAGCTGCGGTTGATATTGGCGTGGAGGTTGCAAGGCGGGGGGCGAACCCAGAAAGAATGGCGCACTTTTAGGGACAATGGCAGAACACTAGCTCTGAATGCAGAGGAGGGAGAACACGGGGCGCCTGGGGAAGGGCGCGGCAGTCTGGCTGCCTTTTAACTAGGGGAGCTACGGTGCAGCCATTAAAGGTGCACAGGAAGGCAGACAAAAAGAGGCGGTTCGCTCGCGTCGCGCGCGTGCGAGCGATGCGCAAGGTCGGCAGCCGTGGAAGCGTGGGAGGCCAGGCGGTGCAGCGCTTTGCAGCTCGTTCAAAGGCAAAGAGAAAGGGAGGCAGGCGCGGGGCGCTTCGAAACCCTGTTTCCACGAGGCACGCGTCACGACCCGTCCCCCCGCCGCCGGGACGAACCCACCACGCTCACGCGGCCAGAGTGGCTGGTCGCGGCCCCGTGGTGCGCGTGCGCCCCGGCCCCGCCGCCCGTGCCGCCACCGCCGCCGCTCAGCGCAGCCGAGGGTATCAGCGCGGCGAGCTCCCCGGGCTCCAGCTGCAGGGGGATGAGGCTGCGGGTCTTGTCGACCGGCGGCCGCTCGCCGCGGCCCCCGCTGGGCGCGATGACGCCCACCCCCAGCCGCGACGCCACCACAGTCGCGACAATCAGCCCCAGGCAGAACGCGCCTGCCAGCAACGCCGCGCCCGCCTCCGTCTTCGGCGCAGACAACAGGCGCCCGGCGCCGCCGCCGCCCTCGCCGGCGCCGCCGCGGGCCTTCATGCCGAGCGGCCCCCCCTCGCTGCCGCGGCCGCCCGTCCCCAGCACTTCCACCATGAGCGCCCCCAGGGTCCAGGTGGGTGAGAAGCTTCCGCCCTTGGGGGTGCCGACCTCGTTCGTCAGCGTGAGCGCGGCGGACGCGTTGCCAATGTGCAGGCCGTCGCGCAGGATGTTGAGAACGTGGGCCGCGGCGAAGCATACCTTGTGCAAGTGGGCGGGGTGGGGAAGGGTAAATCGATTTCAATGGTGTGGAGGGGCATGTCCAGGAAGGCAGCTGGGATTATGACACCTGGGGTCCGCTGCGCAGTGCTCAAAGCGCAGGGACTGCAGAGTCGGCTGCCCCCGTAGTTTCGGCACTGCACACGCACCGGGTGCATGATCGGCCCTTGCACTTCAAGCCTATGCACCTCGCAGGCGGACGCACAACCAGCCCTGCCCCACCTTCCCCTACCGTGTCCAGCGCCCTTCGCACGCGGGTGATACATGTACAGAGTCGCGGGGCGCCCAGCCCTCACCTGCAGGGCGTACGTGTCAGACCCCACTGAGCTGTGCTTCAGAAACTCCTTCCTTATGGCGCCCCAGCCCTTGGCGCAGAACCGCTTGGCGGCCGCCTCGTAGTCGTTGACCTGGACCAGGCCCGGCTTGAGCTGAAGCGCGCGCGCGCTCTGGGGCGACAAACACGGGGCGGTGAAAACGAGGGCGGAGGGGGGCGGGCGGAGGGTCAGGTGATGTCAGCAACGCAACGGCAGGGGCCAAACCCTGCCTGCCCAGCACATTTAAAAACTGGGGGTGCAAGAGAAGCAGCCATTGCCCCCAAAGAAAATCCACAGCAGCTGTTGTTTCAGGTCTCGCGTCGACGGCCACAGTTTGCGGGGTGCGATGCATCACACGTGCCAACTCATAAACGCGCACCCAGAAAAAGTTGTCGATCCCGATTAGCGGCCCCTCCACCGGCGGCGTGAACACGTTGCCCAGGGAGCAGCTGCTGAAGGTGCAGCGCTCCGTTGGCAGCAGCTTCCGCGCAGCTGCCTTGCACGCCTCCCAGTCGCCGCTGCCGGCAGGGCTGCCCTCGGCCTTGAAGCCCGAGGGCAGGCAGGGGTCGGCGCGGGCGCCGCCCTCCTGCAGCCGCGTGCGGTGCTTCGCCATGGCCGCCTGTGATGGAGGGCATGACGAACGGCGCGTGGTAGCGTAGCGCGTTGGGGCTGGCAAGTGGGGTGTTGCGCAACTGCACTCCTATATGCAGGGTGTGCCCGCGGCGCTATGTGAGCACGACAATCACTGGCCCGGCCGCTAAGCGGCGTCGCAGCCGACCACCGGCACCCGCACAGGAGAGATGGGGGTATGCACAGCCAAGCACCGACACATCCCCTTGCCACCCACACCCCCATCCCCTGCCCACCTGTAGTCCAAACCCATCAAAGCTGTGGCTATACAGCTGCCGCCCCGCCAGCCCGGGCATCTCCAGCGGCGCCGCCTGGTTGGGCGGGATACGCCGCCCCTCCGCCACCGCAAACGTGACCTGCAGGCTGCCTCCGCCGAGCTCCAGCACCCCAGTGAGCGGCGCAGTCGGCTTCACAGGATCGAGGCCGCCGGGCAGCTCCTTGCGCCCGAGGCGCGCCTTCTGCTGCTGCTGCACCAGGGACTGCGCATGCGCGGGGAGAGGGGCGTGCGCCGGGGCAGAGGGATGCCGTCACTCCGAGCTGCGCCTGCGCTTCAGATCCGTGCAGCGTCGCCGCACCTTTGAGACACCCCAGAAACGGCGCGCTGCTGTGCGAGCGAAGCGTCCCCGCCAGCCCCCGCTGCTGTCGGCGGCGCCGCCGCGGTCAATCAACCTGCCAGCACACACACACACACACACACACCCGCTTGCCACCCTGCACCTGACGCCCCGCACCTGGAGCGCCCCTGTCGCGTAGTTTATAGACACCCAGCCAAACAGGCCCTCCTCCTGGCCGCTGATGACGCGCGCCCACTCGTCCCTGAACAGGAACCCGCTGCCGCCCAGGAGCCGCCGAGCCTCCTGCAGCAGCGCGCCCGACGCGTCGCCGGGCAGCATGCGCAGCCCCGCTGTGGCCAGGAGCTGCACGGGCGTCTGCGGCCACTGCGGCTCGGGCACCTGCGGTTTCGGGCGGGGACGGGCATGCATGCGGGCGGGCGGGTGGGGCACACGCGCTTTGGGAGGGCTGCTGCGGGGGTTCGCCGCCTGTTCGCGAGCGGTGCGGTGCAGTGCGGCGCCTGTCGGCTGGTTGGCGCTGCCCCGCTGTCCATCTGCCGCGGGCAACAGCAACTGATGCGGCTGCAGCTGGATGGCTAGGATGGGCGTGCTGGGCGACTTCTGGGGGTGAGACGCGTCCAGATGCAAGCTCCTGCTGCGGTGTCATGGACGTGGCCGCAGCTGCAACACTTCCACCGCGTCGCGCTGTGCGGTCCGCCTTGCGCCTGCAAGGAGGCAGGAGTGCGCACCTGCTCCTTGGCAAACTTTATCAGCGGCGCCAGGGAATTGGCGCCGGTCCGAGGGTCAAAGGAATAGGAAGACAGCCCCGGTGTCGTTGTGTGAACGGCGTCTGGAAGCTCGACGGTCGCATACGGAAAGTCCTGTGGGGGACGCAAAGCAGGGGGCCTGTAATTGCCGGTAGCGCCGATGCAAACGGCGCACCCACGGGTTGCGGGGCTGCTCAAGGGGGGTGTGTGGCTGTGCTGCGATGCAGCACGACCGCTGCTGTCAACGAGCGCGGCGCGCTTGCTTGCCTTGTGGCGGTAGAACTTGAACACGTGCACGCGGCTGCCAGTGCTCCCGGCATCGATGATGACGGCGTACTCCCAGCCGATCACCTGCGCACAGCGTTCGAAACGCGCGGCGAGCGCTAGGGCACCCGACGTCGCTGGTGGCGCTGGCGTTGCGGTTAGCGGGGCGAACAAAGCGCAGCGGCGCTAAGGAAAGCGGCGCGCAGCTCGGGCTGCAGCACGGGCGGCGCGTCAGGTGACCATTCGCATCGCACTCACCGCAACGCAGGGCTGCAAGCTGCATGTGCCTAGCAACAGTCCTATCAGCCACACCGCTGAGCTCCTCATCTGTTGCTGCAGTCCATCTATGACACAGGTCTCTCTCGCGGAGACAGCGAACAATCGGGCCGGCTGTTGTTGCTGAAAATTTCAGAGGACGAGTTGTATTTCAATATTACACTGTCGTTGCGCTTGTGCCACCGCGATCGTGCTACACGGAACCGTGCTCCGAGGCGCCTTTTGATCCAACGGGTAAAGTTGCCTTCTCTTAGCTTCTATAGCATGATAAACAAGTATGGTCCCGTTATTTATCAGGTGAAGCGGGGTTGAGAGAAGCGACGGTTGCCGCCGGTGCCGCTCACGGTGCCGCTCGCTTGCACTGCCTGCGTACACAATTCGACACCACTGTGTGCAGCGATGCGTCGGAAAGCTCCGGACAACCGAAGTCACTACAGCTTGATGTTTGGTTGGATTCGATGTGAACCTGCTATGTGTAGCTGCGATGCTTGCAGCCCAGGCTGCAGGCTAGGTCGACGACAGCCCACAGCCGTCCCATTAACTCTTGATACCAGGAGCACACAAGTTCAGTGGTTCCTATGCGCCTGCATATGTATGCCCCTGGAACCTAACACAGGCCATAACTTGGAAAGTTTTACAGGTTTTCGATGTAAGCACCTTGCAGTGCAGGTTGCGGCCCGACAGATATGTGCAGCCAATAAATTCTGAGGGGAAGTCTGGCCACAAGTGTGCAAGCATGCATGCATGTGTGTTGCCTTGTGGTGAGTAAGCCGATTGTGCAATTTCAGAGCTGCTGTGTCAATGCTTGAGCTCATAGAATTTAACGAAGCAAGTCAGTTGTTGCACTGACTGTCAGGTGTGGGGCAGCTTCACAGGCCGGGGAGGTTTCAAATTCGTGGTCACTTGAAGCTGCAGTAATCAGCAGTGCTGTAGGCCTTGCTGCAGCTGCCCTGTGCCGGCAGGCTTCCAGGCGCCACGCTGCGAAGGCCGCCCCCCTGCACGCACGCCGACAGGTGGCTGGCGTACAGCTTCACCTCGTGGTCCTGCCAGAGCCCGTTCTTCTTGCTCAGGAGGCTGAAGGGCATGACGCCGCAGAAGCACATGTCGGCCTTGCCGGACGCCTTGCCGGCCGCCACGAAGATGGAGCAGTCGTCGTACGCAGACTCGGGCTCGATGGTGCACTCGGCGCCGCCAGCGGCGACGGCGGGCAGGCAGGCGCCCTTGGGGTGGGTGGCGGCGACGGGGCAGCGGGGGGTGCGCACGCGCAGCAGCTGCCCGACCTGCTGGTAGTCGGCGCCGACGCCCTTGGTCTGGCAGCGTGACGCGAGCATGGGGACGGGGTCGGCGCCATGCACGACGCGGAAGGTGCGAGAGGAGAGGCCGCTGCTGCCGTCGTAGGCCGCGCGCCACTCCTTGCCGCGGCCGATCTTGGGCTGCCCAAACGTGAAGGCGGCGACGTCGAAGCCGGGCGTGCTGTCCAGGTGCAGGGCGAAGAGGGCGGCCTCCGCCGCGCCCAGGGAGTGGCCGGTCACCAGCACCTGCACTGGGCCCTTGAGGCTGTGCGACTGCGCCAGCTGGGCGATGTGGCCGGCGACGGCTGCGGCGCAGGACTGCGGCACGGGGCCGGCGCCGGCGGCCTTGTCGCAGGTGGTGGGGGCGGGCGCGCCGAAGACGCTGTCCCAGAAGCCGCGGTGCACCTCCACTGTGCGGCCGCGGACAGTCTTGGGGACCGACTCGAAGTTGAGGTCGGCGACCGCCGCGGCCACGTTGCTGCTGCCGCGGAACGCGACGACGACGGCGGGGCGGCTGGGGTCGCGCACCGCGAGGCCAGAGTTGGGGCCGACCAGCGCGGCGGCGGCGTGGCAGAACTGGTTGGCGCCCGGGGCGTTGAGGTCGAAGAGGGTCACCGCCGAGGCCTGGATGCCGAGCTCGTTGGCGATGGCGTCGACGGAGTTGCGCTGGAAGGCGTTGCGGGGCGCGTGGGGGCGCGCGCAGTCCGAGTAGGAGCTCTGGACGAAGTTGGCGGCGCCCTTGGGTGCGTACATGGCTGCAGACACGGCGGCCAGCTTGGCGGCGGTGGCCAGGGTGGCCGAGGGTGCCAGCTGCTGCTTCAGCAGGGGGCTCCCGGCTTGGGCGAGGGCGCCGCCCGCGGGCGCCGCCGCGGCGTAGGGGCCACTGCCCTGCTGCTGCTGCTGCTGCTGCTTGTGGTGCTTGTGATGGTGGGTCGAGGCGCCACCAGCGGGCGCGAAGCCTTGGGGGTTGGTCTGGGCAAGCACGTCTGCGCCGCTACCCTCGGTGAACCCAGGGCCGCCGAGGCTGCCCAAACCGCCGCCGCCTAGCCCTGCTCCGGTGGTCCAGCCGCTCCCGGCGATGCGAGGTTGCAAGGCCCCAGCTTGAAGGGCCGCCAGCAGGGGGCGCGGCTGAGCCTGAAAGCCGCTGTCGTCAGCCTGGACCAGGCCTGCGGATCAGAGGGGACGGATGCGCACCCGGTCGGGTCATCAGTGCACTTGAAGCACGGGGCACGCAGCATTTGCACTTCATAGGATGCCATCCAACTTGCTGCGCAACTGTTGTCCTGCTGCAGGTACTGTACACCAAACTGCGGCAGCATCCCATACCAGTGACACACCAAGCAACCCACCTGCGAGGGCCGCACAGCAGCAGCAGAGGAGAATGACCTTCGTGCGGTAGCCCATCATGGCGGTTTTATGTGACGAGAAGATAGCTGGCTAGAAGCTTTCGCCTCACTGTCAGAGCGTAGATGTGTGCCGAGGAGGATGCTGAAATTGCCGGCGTGCTTCGAACTCGATTTGTGTGGATGGTCGCAATCACCGGGGCGTGTGTTATACATACCGTGGCGGAGCGTTTGTCACCCACCATCTTCTTGCACTTTCTCACACAAATTCTTCACACCCCTGGCCAGGTTCCCACCAGCTCATTCTTTGGTGTGTCACATGGGCATGTATCACCATTCCGAAACAGCTCTACGATGCCGGGAGGATGGCCGTCCAGCACTGCCCATCCATCTGGAAAGCAGCTGGGCGCCCTCGTGGCTGAGAGATGCACAGGCGTGTCCGCGGACACTGAGTCAGAAGACAGTGTTGCCATGGCGCGTTGGGTGCAGTACCTGTGTAGTGGCGCGGAATGCGAAGATCACTGATCACGATGGTTGCGCACCCAGGTAGCGAGGCACTTGGGTGCTGCTGGTGTGCTGGGTTGCAGCAGAGCTCTGCACCGGCTGTGTGAAGTCAGGCAGGTTGTGTGCGCAGCTCTGTGATAAGCCCGGCTTCAGGGGGGCCGGTGGCAGTGATGCCATGGCACCAGTGATCATCATCTTCAGCGTTTGATCTGTGAGATGGTTCTATTGCAACTACGTGCGGCACAGGATGTTGGCAATGGCCAACTGCAGCTGCTGCTGGCCGTGACACGATATGATATGCACTGGGCGCTCTGGTGTAATTTCCCTTCAAATGAAGACTGCCCGCGGTCGCAAGAGCTGCCAGCACAAAGAGCAACCTAGGAGCATGAGCACAGCACCCCAGCGTCGCTTGAACAAGCGGCCGTCTGGCGAGGCGCCGGCATCCCCAGCATCGTCGACGTGGGCCTGGTGCAGATGACAAAAGTTACGCCTGTAAGTTAGCATGCCACAATGAGACTTGGGACGCATGCTTGCCAACGCGCGCTGCGCATTGGCCGCGCCCTGCGTGACTCCCGAGGAGCAGCTCGGCGTCCGGCAACCGGCATTGTGCCCGTGGCAGCGGCCACTCCGGGCTTAAACAATTATAAGGGCACAGCGTTTTAATACAGCGCGCAGTATACTGAACTGTGTAGTAAGCGGCCGTCCGCAACCGATCTACAAGGGCTTCGTTTGCCACCCAGCGAAGCAGCATGCGATGGCTTAAGCTCCTGTTACTGTCAGCAGCAATTATTCTAGTTGTCTGGATTGGCTGCAAAGAGGGTGGCGGGCGCGCCCGCCAGCTGATCAACGGCGGCACTCGCGCAGCGAGTACTGCGCAGCCGCCCCTTCTGCGCGACGATGCCGATTCCGCAGAATTTGTGAGCGGCACCACGCCATCGGACACTGATGGACAACCCGTAAGCTTCGGGTCGATCGGGCTGCAGCAGTGATGTCAAGTGGTTGGCACCGCCAGATGTGCGTCGATTGCGCTCAGTATCCCCAAGTTGGTCCACGACCGTTGAAGCCGACCTTGCATGGAACGCATGCGCAGATCTATGCCCACGAGGGCCACATCATCACTCAGGATGACGGCCTGCTCTTGTGAGTGTTATGGAACGACAGCGCCAGATCGTACTCAACGAGCATGTCACCCAGTGGCTGGCAGGAACTGCTCACTTGCGACGGCGCGCACTCGCCCTGACAGCGTGCAACGGCTGCTTCGAGCGCAGCTTCTGAATACCACCAGCAGGACCCTTCCTTGAGTGTGCTTGACTGCGCGGCATGCGCGCAGGTGGTACGGCACAGGGCAGAAGCATCTTGAGGGCGACGACTGGCTGTCGGACTCGATACGGCTGTACACCAGCCGCGATTTCAGCAATTGGCGCAGCAAGGGGCGCGTGTTCCTCACCAGCAGCATCCCGCAGCTACCGGCGCCGCCACCATACAGGTAATCAGCCGGCCGGCTGCCCGCAGCAGGTGCTGGCATCGCCTGCTGCGTGCGCCCCTGCGCGACCACCACTGTCACATGGCTTCTCGCGACGTGCCGCGTGCCACGCCACCAAGCAGCAAACCCAACCCCTGGGATACCGACCTCTCCTTCTGTGGCAGCCCTGGGCCTTCCTCCTGCCCCGCCGTAATCGCGTTGTCCGACTGCCCCTTCCATCGGCACAGGATCGGCAGCGTCAACGCGCTGTACAACGCCGTGCGCCGCCAGTACGTCCTAATCTTCTCGGTGAGCTCCCTGGACAGAAGCTTCTCGGCCATCGGGTTCGCGACCTCTGTCGCGCCCTCGGGGCCGTTCAAGTGGGAGCGCGCGTCGGTGTCCGATGGGGCGCCCACCTCGGATGTCGCCGTGGCGTGGGACGAGGACGGCGGCGGCGCGAGCGCGTACCTGGTGAGACGAGGCGCCGCGGGGTTGGGGGCGTCCAAGGGCAAGCAGCCATTTTCGTGTCTGCAGAAAGCACACACACAAAGAGTTGTCACGACAGGGGGCAGGCGTGCATCTGCAGGATAGTCTGTCTGTTTGAAGCACATGATTGCCGCAGGGCGGCCGAGGAGGCTTGACGCAGGTGCAGCGCTTGCATGCACATAGTCTGTAGGCCTTGTACAAAGCGGCTGCCCTTCCAGCCAACGAGGTGCGTGCACAGAATGCTCAGACTGCAGCGAGGCATGCCCGCAGAGGCGCCGCCGCTGCCGACGGTCAGCAGGAGCCGGCCCCACTGCCCGCACCCCTGGTGCGCCGCTCGCCTCCCTCCCCTCGCAGGTGCGCAGCACGGGTGCCAACGGCACCACCATCAGCCGCCTCAGGGATGACTTCCTGGGCACCACCGGCGCCTGCGGCTACGCGCCCCCGACCGGCGCGCCAGCGGTGGGTGCGAAGGGGCGGGATGGGGGGTGTGGTGCGGCGCGGCACCTGCAGCTAGTGGGCGCCAGCTGGCGCGCATGGACGTTTGCCGAATCCAGGCCGAGGGAGGCGGCGTCTGCATTGCAGGTCCGCGCTGTCGACACAGCAAGCCTCGACAGGAGTCTGCACCCACCACCTCTGACGTGCGCGCGTGTGTGTGTGCAACTACATGGCTTCCCGCAGCTGTTCAAGAGCGGCGGGCGGTGGTACCTTTTTGGGTCTCGCCACAAAGGCTGGTGGGTCACGAATTGTGCCTGGGAGAGGAGGGGGGGACAGCTGGCCCAGAGCTGCATGCTGTGTGGGCGGGTGGCGACAGGGGCCTGGTCCCCTGGTCCATCAGGACCGCAGGTACCCACGCCGCCCCAGATGCACCTGCGCTCAGATTCAAGCCTCATTACTGCACTAAGCAAGGCTCCAAAATTTCGCCTGATCTGACGTCCGCAATCCTCTCCCTCACAGGCAGCCCGGGGCGCCGCAGCTTTTTGCGTCAGACAGCGGCGACCTCTGCGGCGCCACGTGGTCAAAGCTGCCGCGGCCGGCCGACGGGCGTGGCGCAGACACCACGTTTGACAGCCAGCCGGCGTTTGTCCACACGTTCCGGTGGCAGGGCGGCGGGGAGCTGCAGATCTACGCGGGGGACAGGTGCGGGCGCCACCAGAGCGCCGTATGACAGCGAAACCTACGCTGCACCACCAATACCCCTTGGATTGCGCATCTGCCTTTGAGGTGGTTGCGCGCAACGGGTCACTCCCTGCAGCAGCATATCCTCCGCGCCTGATGGCGCCGTCAGCAACGGCCGCCCCGCCGCGCTGACTGGGACACTTCACCGCTGCGCCTGGCCCGCGCAACTGATCACCAACCTACACAGGTGGAACGCCGAGGGCGAGGGCGGCGTCGGCAACGCGTCGTACGTGTTCCTGCCACTGCTGCCGGCCGGGGACGGCGGCGACCCGCCCGGCTTCGAGCTCCAGTGGCTCGAGCGGTGGCGGCTCGGCGACTACAAGCCCATCACGCCCTCATAGCTGCCGCTCCACTGTCATGGAGCTGGGCGATTTGATGTTCGCTCACTTCTGCTTGGTTTAGTGCGGCTGGACATTATGTTGAGTGATGCAAGCGAGCGAGCCCTTAATCACGCATCAAGATTAGCATTACTTGTAAGCGCATGCGCTGGCTAGCTTGAGGGGAGGGTTTATAATGCAATTCAGGCCGCGGCGCTCATAACTTGTGTGTGAAGGAATGTTTGATGCACTACATAATAAGAGGTTGAAAATCGAAGCCTGCAGGCCGGGCGTGGCGCGCCAGCCAACGCTCATTGCTGCTGAGGGCAGCCACGTGCGTACCACAGCGCCATCCGGCCCCACACCCAAACAGGCCCAAGGGCGCAGTACACAGAGGTCAGCATCAGCGGCGCAAACGGCAGCCGCTCTCCAAGCAGCAGCCTGTGCCCAATGGCGCAGTACAATTCCAGCGGCACGAGCCCCCACATATACAGCCGGCACCAAGCAGGCAGCCACGCCTGCCCGCCCGCAGCCGCGCCCGCGGCCCCCTTTGACGCCGCTCCGCCGCCTCCGCCGCCGCCGCTGCTGCTGTGCAGCCGCCCGAGGCCCGAGGCCGCGACTGCAAAGTAGAGGCCCACTATCAGCCATTTAATGGGCGTTTCAGCCATCCCAAACAGCAGCGGGAACAGCCCGGCGTGGCCGGCAGAGGCGAGCAGCAAAAAGTCGCGCCCCCACTCCGCCCCCTCGACTGCCAGCAGGGCCAGGGGCACAGTGACCGTAATGATGGCCTTTTCATGGACGTGGTACCCCCATATGAAGCCGCACAGGTTTGCGTACACCACGGCCGCCGCGAGCGCGCGGTGGTTGGGGCGGCGCCAGAGGGCAACGAGGCTGGGGACGAGCGACAGCAGCACGGCGGCTGCCGCGCCACTGGGGCCGACCTGCATGCCGGGGAGTGCGTTTTGCGGCGGTGCAGCGCGCACGTGATTGATTTGGATCCCACTTGTGTTGATGGTGCCTTGAGCTGGCATAATTCCCAGCTCAAGGCACCTAGGGACTTGTGCAACACCCTCTCTTGTATAATCACTGCGCGCATGCGTGTGCGCATGCGTGTGGTTCGCACACACGTGCATGAGCACACGAATGTAAACCCGCATGAGCTTGCACCACACTTTGTCATACACACAGTCACACACACCCACACCCACATGCCATACTTGCTTGGACGTCTGCGCCCACAGCCACATATACAGACACTCTCACATGCGCACACCTGTGGCAGCACTGCAAACTTCGCAGTCCCAACGATGCCGCCCGCCATGTGTGCCACTGGCTTCTCCATGAGGCCCGCCTTGGCCAGCAGCGCGGCCAGCACCTTGTCACCGAAGCTGTAGAGGGCCCAGGCGTTGGGCGCCCAGTACGCGTGGCACAGGCCGCGGCCGAACGGGAACAGGCGCGACAGGAGCTGCGGGCGGGTGACCAAGGTGACAGAGACATGCGCGTGGCGATGAGAGGGATCTGTTGTGCGCGTGGCAAATGTTGTCACGTCCCATCAGTAACGCCGCGGCTGCCGCGGTTGGCTTTCAAAGCAAGGGGTGTTGTGGCCAAAGAGTGACCCCCGCCAAGGCCGGGGCAAGGGTCTCTGTAGGCAACACAAAAGCCCTCCCCTCGTAACGACCGATCAGGTTGGATGTGCCTTCGGACCCTTTGCAATATGCTGGCAGCGCACACCTGCGGCAGCTGCCCCGTCGCGATGAACGGCCCCAGAGACGCCGCAAACACCGCCACCACTGCTGCGCCGAGCGCTGAAAGCCGCGCGACAAACGTCTGCAGCGGCGGTGCGCCCGCCTCGCCGCCGAGGCAGTGGTTGCGCAGCAGGAAAACGAAGTACGCCGGGGCCATGTAGGCGAAAAGGTGCTTCATATTCAGGAGCACTGCAAATAGGATGCCGCTGGCCACGTAGCGGCGCTCCTGCGCCAGAAGCAGGGACCAGACCATGATACCTGCTCAACAATAGGTGGTGAGGGACGAAGTGCGGGTTGTGACGAGGTCCTCAAGCGCAGAAAAGGTGACACAGAGCACCAGCTAGGGCATCAAACTTACACAGTCCCCTCCGCTGCCTGAGGCCTTACTGTGCCAGCTTCTCGCGCTTTGAGCCTACTGCTCGGGTGACCTGACTCACCAAGGAGGATTCCATTGTATTGAAAGTGAATGTGGTCGACCAGCAACAGGCCGGAGTTTGCCACCAGCAGAAAGAACAGCAGCTGCGCCCTCGGCTTGCTGCCCTCGGGCCCTCGCGTCGCATACCACGCTGCAGCTGCCAGCACAAGGCCTGTGGCCGACACGCTGGCGCGCTGGAACAGCACAGTGGCTGGGCTGTCGTATTCCAGGTTTGAAAGCGCCAGCATCTTGGGGTCGGCGAGGCGCGCGAGCGGTACCATAGCGCGCTCAAACCATGCGAACAACGGCGGGTAGTCGAGTGTCCACTCCGATGTGGCCTCATAATACCTTGCACGGTTAGTCAGTGTGTGTAATTTCAAACGGGATGCGGCCGCTGCATGCGCATTGCCGTGGAACACATGATGTTGCAGCGCAATTAAGCGGCGCAGCCCACGCAGCAGCGGACCAGGCGCGTGCCGGGGGTGCGGTGAGACCTCACCATTTGCTGATCGGCAGGGAGTGAGTGATCGCAAGCCAATTGCGGTGCACCTCAAAGTCTGTTGATCGGTATGCGGGAACGAGCATAAGCTGCACGCCCGCCAGGATCACCAGCAAAGTTGATCTATAGTCCTCCATGATATCATTTGGATGCTTGGTTGTATAGAAGTGCTTGTCAATCGAGTAATGCCGTAGATATATAACGCTTTTGAGGTGCTGTCAAGTCTTTGAAATTGTCATCGGCCGCTACCATACGGTATCGTCCAGCTCTGACGGACCAAATGCATGTATGTAGGTATGTATCAGGCAATAGTACATCCTCATTGACAGCCAGTAGAAGGCAGCGGTATCACCCTCCCCAGCGGCAATGGCTTGGGCGGCGCTGCAGTCGTGGCGTCAAGCCGCATGCGGGCGGCGACAGCGGTGGCAGCGAAGCGATTGTGCATGAAAACAGCATTGAAGGCAGGGGCAGCAGCGGCGATGGCAGCACAAACAGCAGCAGCGGCATCGAAATCTGCCCCAGCGCACACGCAAGCAGCGTTGACGGCTGCCGTGACGACACCAGTACACCCCATCCGACGCTGCCGGCTGGATTTTGGGACGAGCGGCGCGTTTTGTACAACAGGATGCGGCATGAGCGCGACAGATCCAACAAGCGGGAGCGCATGCGGCAAATGAGGTCAGGCATGTTGTGTTGGTGTCTCGGTGTGTGTGTGTGTGTGTGTGTGTGTGTGTGTGTGTGTGTGTGTGTGTGTGTGTGTTGGTTGTTCGACACGAGGGAGTGAGAGCTGGTGCCTGCAGTGCAGTCAATTTATTTGTCACATCACCTCATGATACCGGCAGGATCCCTAATACAGTGTGAAGAACGCAGGCTTCGCACATGCACACAACCAGGGCCCTGGAAGAGGCGCGGCTGGAGGGGTTGCCTCAGGAGCAGCGGGCCGCGTACGAGGCGGAGGCGGCGCGGCTGCGGGTCGAGGCGGGGCTGGCGCAGAAGGCGGCGATGCGGGCGGCCCTGGAGGGCGCAGGGCAGCGTGTGGTGATCGACTGCTCCTATGGTGCGCGGCCGGCAGAGCGGCAGCCGCTCTGGTGCACAGTGGCAGCATCAGGATGAGCAGCCTGAATTTTGGGCGCGGGGGACCCATCCGCACTTCCAGCTTGATGTTTCGATCGATCTGGGCCGCTCCCCCCGACTCCTCGGGTTCAGAGAGGCGTGTCGCGTGGCCTTTCTGCCCCCAGTGACGCAGGTCGAGGAACTGCATGCTCCCCGCCACGGCGAGCGCGTGCGGGAGATTGTCGCCCAGGCCAACGTCCGCAGCCTGGCCAAGCAAGTGGAGATTGCGATGGGCATGAATCGCCGGTGCGTGGACGGGGTGCCAGTTGATGATGGGGCAGAGTGGCAGCAGCTGCACGCTGGTGATGTGAGTTTGCGCCCCTCCTCAAGCCTGCTGGCCTTGCTCATGTAACCCCACCGTGACCCGTTACCCTCCACGGCATGTGCCACCACGCCATGCCATGCGTGCCCCCCGGCCCCAGCTCCCAGCGGCCCGTGGCGCTCAACCTCACGTCGTTCAGAGGCGACCTGGCCGCATTCTGCGACCACTCTGGCGCGCGCTCGTGGCCGGTGCGGCGCCACGAGGAGCATGTGCTGGACGTCTTCGCCTCGGAAGCCTCAAACCTCGTGATGCTCACCCCCGACGCTGCGGCGCCGCTGGAGGGGCCGCTGGACCCTCGGGCGATTTATGTGATTGGCGGCATCATCGACAAGTCGGTGATCAAGGGGCTGTCCCTTGGATGGGCAGAGGCGGCGGGCGTGCGGGCTGCGAGGCTGCCAGTCAGGGAGCATGCCGCTGAGTTGGGGATGAGCTTTGACGGCGCGAACAAGACGCCGGTGCTGTCGGTGTCGGATGTGGTAGCGGCGATGATCGAGGCGGGCCGCACCGGCGGCGACTGGACGGCGGCGCTCGCCGTAGCGCTGCCGGAGCGCGTGCGGCGGGCTGGAGTTCCAGGGCGGCGGAGGCGGTAGCGGCGGACGGCAGTGTGTGTGTCGGACGCAGCCCAACAAGGCATGTTCGAAGTGTTACAACGTCCAGGGTAGCAAAGTCGAGTTGTGCAGTGATGAGAGCATAATCAAAAGAGTAAATTTTGACTGTCCTGCGCTGCGGTTTGAAGCGTTCAGCTTCACTCATATGATCACGAACCTCTGACATGCACAATAATTGCTGCTTCCAATAGCCTCCAAAGCTCAGCAAAGTTCCTAGCAACCTGGTTCGCCACATCCTATCACCTTTCTTCTGAGTAATGCGGTGGCCATGCATCTCATCTCTAATAGCTTGCCGCTGCCCACCTTGGACTGGGTAAGGAAGAGATAGCTTCGCTATTATAAGTTGCCACCACTACCTTGAGTGTTCTCTTCCTGTGCGCACAGTCGCCAGGAGCAGGTCTGATGGCTACGATGGGAGGGTGTCACCAGTCCACGTGCGGGTGTGCGCACACATCAGCAGTGCCATGCCCTTGGGCGACGCGTGCTGGCGCACTATCAATAATCTCATGCCTTCTGAGTTCTTGTGCAGGCTTCATCACAGCGTCCAAACCCCTGCGACACAGCATTGAGCAGCAAGATCAGCATGCTTGCCATGGTCGGCCTCCGCTACGCCATGTAATGTATTTTTAGTTTCTTCGAATCATTTGTGAGGTAGCAGCAGTGATGTTTAGAACTGTGTGGGAGCGCGGCGTTGGCCACACGGCAACCAGCCCGCGGCATGAACGCAGGGAAAGCTCAAAATCAATAGACTTGGTGCGATATATTCGTGCTGCTACTGAAGAGCCTCAGCCATGCCCGCAGGCCGCGCAACTTGAGTGCGCTCGTTAACATGCAGCATGGTGCAGCGCACCCATCGCCCCGCGCACGCACTGCGAGCAATCTGCCATCGGGCTTCGCCGCGGCGCTCCGCGCGCTGACACTGCCGTGGTTGCGTGTGCACGCGTGCAGGTGCAGCGCATGGAGCTGCAGCGCACGCTGGAGGGCCACGGCGGGTGCGTCAACACGGTTGCGTTCGACCCCGCGGGCTCATTACTCGTCTCAGGCTCGGACGACATGACTATCCGCGTCTGGGACTGGGAGCAGGGTGAGCGGGCTCCAAGCACTGCACAACAGCAGCGTGCAGGCAGCCATGCAGAGCAGGCGCGACTGTGCAGTGGCTAGGCCGCCGCAGGGCCCGTTCAGCGCGGCGGCACGCTCCAGCGCTGACCCGCGGCCTTGCTGATCTAGTCGGGATCGCGTCTCAGCGGACTGCGCCGACGGCCGCACATCCACACACCACCGATGCAAGCAGGCTGCCAGGTCCTGTCGTGGCAGAGCGGCCACCGCAACAACGTCTTCCAGGCTCGCTTCATGCCGCACTCGCACAACAGCGTCCTCATCAGCTGCGCAGCCGACGGGCAGGTGCGGGGCGCGCGCCCTCGCCCACTGGCTGGCGCCGCCGTCAGACGCTGCAGTCCCAGTGCCTTCTAGCCTTTCTGCATGCGTTGGAAATTGGCGCCAAAAGCGGCTGCGTGGATTAACAATAGAATCCTGAACTCCTACCGCTCTGCCTGAAAACACCCAAATCCCTGGGAAAGGTGCGTGCCGCGGACTTGCCCCCCGGCGGCGGCGCGCGCACCATCACCAGCCGCAAGCTGGCGCAGCACGACGGGCGGGCGCACCGCCTGGCGCTGGACCCGCTGAACCCGCGGTTCTGCTTCTACAGCTGTGGGGAGGACGGCGAGGTGTGTGACAGGGCAGCTGCCCTAAAAGCGAAGGCTGCTTGGGGTGTTTAGTGTGAAAAGAGCGCTGATATGGATGCAAGCAGAAACTGGCAACGCGCATGGCTAGAGTCTTGCGGCCGCAGTTTTATTGACGCCGCAGGCTTGAGGCGCACCTCAGGATGCCATGCCAGGATACTGTGCAGTTGGGCTGTTTGCTATGCTTTCTTTTTGCTGGCCTTACCGGGTCTTCCTTGCTGGCTCCTTTCTCAAACCTCATGATTATCCAAAGCAGGCCCAAGTCAGTCCCTACAACACCTTGCCCAACCCCCCCAGGTCATGCACTTTGACCTGCGGCAGCCAGCTGCGCGCTGCCGGCAGCGACTGCTCGTCTGCCGCGGCTTCCCCGGCCCCTCCCAACGCTCTCCCACCGTCATCGACCTCAACTGCATCCACGTGAACCCCGCCCGCCCCGAGCTCTTCGCCGTCGGCGGCGGCGACGAGTGGGCACGCGTGTACGACCACCGTCGCGCGTCCTCGCGGCTGGGGTCGGCGGCGGCGGCAAGGGGCGGCGGCAGCGGCGGCGGGCGGCTGTTTGGGATGACTGATGAGCCGGTCGCAAAGCTGGCCCCCGAGAGGCTCGCGCAGCGCGGGGCGGGGCCGCGGCGGCGGGTGCTGCCGAGGCACATAACCGGGATACAGGTGCGTGCGCCAGCTGCTGCAGATGCACGATTTACTGGATGTTGACGAGCGACCTGGCGGGCCAAGCTGGGCTGTTGGAGGTATAAACACCCCAACTCCCTGACAAAAGCGCACCGGCCAGTCTCGAGACACGCAGCACAGGCTTCCTGCAGCAGGCTGTTTTTTTGCCAACCTCCCCAGCCCCCAGCTGCAAAATGACAAGAGCCAACAATGCACTGCAATCTGCCATTGCTGTGCATCAATTGCAGTTCTCTTGCTCAGGGGAGTTGCTGGCCACATACAATGACGACGACATCTTCCTCTTCTCTCCAGAAGGATATGGCAGCTGCTGCAGCGGCGCCTGGGGTGCGGGGGTCGGCGGCAGTGCCAGGCCGCCGGCCCGGGCAGTGGACCCTGCTGGGTGCGACGGCGTGAGTGCGGGGGCGCGACTACATGCAGGCAGCCCGGGGCAACTGGATGAGCAGCAGGCGGGGCCCCGCCGGCGGCGGCGCAGGGGTGAGCACGGCCGTGCGGTTGCAAGGCTGAGGTGGATGTTTGTGGCCTCTGCTGGACTTTGATGTGTGCCTCAACTTGTTGCAGTGTTGTGATGTTGCAGCCATCTGTATCAAGGTGTGTCCTGCCTACTTGCCGCCGAAACTGGTTCCTCCTGCTGCCTGTTGACCTCCCAGGCCTGACCACCAGCAGTGAAGACGGCGACCGCCCCCAGGCGGTGCGGCGGCTGCGGGAGTCGTCTGCGGCCAACGGCAGCAGTCATGGGGCAGGCAACACCCGGGCAGGAGAGGAACAGCAGCAGCAGCAGCAGCAGCAGCAGCAGGGCAGGGAGCAGCAACAGAGGCTTCAAGAGGAGCGGGAGGAGGTTGAGCTGCAGGCGCTCCTTGGTACAGACGAAGCAGAGGACGACCTGGCGGGCAGTGAGGAGATTGACGATGACAACGAGGAGGAGGGGGACGAGGAGGAGGAGGGGGACGAGGAGGAGGAGGAGGAGGAGGAGGAGGAGGGGGATGAAGGGGAGGGTTCAGAAGAGGGAGATGAGGACGAGGAGGAGCAGCAGCAGCAGCAAGAGCAGGGCATGGACGTTGACGCTGCGCGGCTGCTGCGGCAGCAGCGGCACGACCCTGAGGGGCGCGACGCGGACCCCGGCCAGGACTGGGTCATCGGGGTCTACACGGGCCACCGCAACGCGCGCACCGTCAAGGTTTGTGGAAGCAAGCGCGAGTGCAGGCGGGGCAGAGCCACAAATGACAGATCGTGCAATCATGCGCGGGATTGCTTGCAGCTGTATGGACCTCGTGCACTTTTTCACACGGGCCGGAGCAGCCTGTCGCCGTGCCTGGATGCAGAAGCCTTCTCCCATCGTGGCTCTGCGAGCTTCCCCTCAAGTTTGAGGCCTCCATCCAAAGGCCTCAGATATGGCGACCCCCTTGATGCACATCGCTCTTGCCCTCCAACAGGGCGTGTCATTCATGGGCGCGGATGACGAGTACGTCGTCAGCGGCTCCGATGACGGCCATGTGTACGTCTGGTCGAAGGCCACCGGCGCGCTGCTGTGGTGGGCTCAAGGCGATGATGATGGTGAGCGGTCGACTCAGGTCACTCAGCGATCATGGTTGCACAGCACCTTTCCCATGGCACCCTTGGGCAATGTACAGCAGCCCTGCAGTTCCCGGCTGAGGCCCACTATGTGCCATGCAAGGCAAGGAAGCGCATCAGCCTGCCTGCGTTTTGCTGCCGCCCGCCTCCATTTGGCGCAGTCGTCAATTGCCTCGAGCCTCACCCGTTCCTGCCCATGACCCTGGCCACCAGCGGTGAGATTTTGGTGGTGTCGTGTGATAGGGAGGGGTATTGCAGTTGGTCGCCATCTGGGGGACACCGCAGTCATGGGGCGCGCTGGGCTGGGGAATGCGCGGAGGGAGGGCGTGGGCCCCCCTGTCGCCCCGCCACTTGCCTGTCGCTCATGGCAGCACCTGCTTTTTGGCGAGATCACGTCACCCCGCCTTTCCCCCTGCAATTTGGTCAGGCATCGACGACACCATCAAAGTCTGGGCCCCCACCGCCCCAGAGCGCCGCCCAGTGCCTCCAGAGGCGTACCGGATAATGGACCGCAACCACGACGCGCGGGAGCGCGGCCCCGAGCGGACCGCGCTGCCGGTGTCGCCAGAGCTGCTGCGCCTGCTGTTCAGCCGGCGGCGCGCGGGCAACAGGTCGGGCAGCGACGGGGAGGGCGTGGGTTTAGGGGAGGGCGAGGACAGCGAGGATGACGACGAGGGTTGCCGTGTTAGCTGATGTTGCTGGAATGGCGGGGCCATACCTTTGGTGATCGGAGAAGTGAGAGTGGTTTTTGCAGGTCTTGAGAATACGCAACCCTCATCATGCGCAGCTGGCGGTTTTTTCCCCTGCAAAGCCAGCATGCCACTGTTTGCATCCCTCATGCCTTTACTTTGCATTTGATGCACTCTCTCAAACGTCTTGTGCATGCGTAAGCCGCGTCGACTGCGCCAATTTTGTGGTTCTGTGTGTTTGTGTGCAGGAGACAGTACGTGTGCCCTCAACATACCGCTTGACCTGCTTGATTTTTGCATTTCAAAGCGTTTGTGCAATACATGCTTTCCCCTTGCCGATCCTGGCCGGAGTTATGCAGCTAGGGCAGTCAGTTGCTTACAAGGTCATACCTTGGTTGGTCTTGTTGTGACGCGGCATTCATGGAGCGGATGCAAGGGCTCAGCCGGTCACATATGCACATGTTCACAGGGCAGTCACATGTAATTGATCTGATCCTTCGTTATTGAAGTCCCTTTCAGCCGTGCAGCAGGCATTTCTGAAGGGTGGTCATCTGGCAGGGGCATCTGCCGCACCACCTAGCACGCCGCGCTGCGGCCGCCCGTACTACTGCTTGCGAGCCAACTGTGGTGCGAGAAACACTTGGTGTGCCTACGCAACACCACCAATCAGCACTACTGGCAACATGGCCATGCTGCATGGTGACGTTTTGCAATTCTCAAGCAAGAGGCAGCGACTGCACATGTAGATGAGCTGATGTCACATGTTGTTGTCCTGCCTGGAGCCCGGTGAGGTGCGTCACCAGGCATCTGGCACTGCCGCCAGCGACGACTGCCAGTACAGCCAAATTCCTGACCGTGTAACTGGTTTTCTCGCCTCATCTCATCTGACCCAGCATGGCGCTAGAGTGAGCGGTCTGCAAGCTGCTCCGAGCCCGTCCTGGGGCCGCGGTCAAACGTTGTGATACCATCATACCGGTGCCGTGGATGCGAGGAGCAATTCAGCTATAATAATCATCGAAAATACATCGATCCCTGTAATCGTACCCATAGCTCAGCTTTCAAGGGCAATCGCATCATGATCTGGACCCGCCAGTGCTAAAGCAGACAGCACGATGGGATCGCTGCAGACCACGTAAGTGCGAGCATTATTTTGTGCTGTGATCACAGTCAAGCTTCAGTACAGACACAACCTGGCGTGCCGTGTCGCGCCGCATCACACCCATTGCTGCACCGCCGCCACAGGTGGGCTTGCGGACTTGCGCCATGCTGCGCCGCCTACGTCTCCGAGAGCGAGGTGGCGTGGCAGTGCGGCAATACCATTGTCTTGTATGAACTCCGCACTCAAAAGCAGGTAAGAGATAGGGGTAGTCAGGCGTACACAGGTGGTGGGACGAGCAACAACAGGCGCGCAAGTGTGGGCGTCAGCTACAGGTGCTGCACGCTGGGGTGACAAGCACACCTGCGCAGGCGCGGCTCAACAAATTCTCACACGCTCGCATATGTTGTGCAGCGCCTACTGGTGAGCGATGGCCTGGGCATTCAGTGCTTCGCCGCCAGCAGTGCGTCAGGCATTATTGCAATTGCAGAGCAGGTGCGCCATCTGAACTGCATGGCAGCGGCGACGGGCACACGCCATAATAATTTGTTCATCAACCCATTGCCTCTTGGTGCATGCAGTCATAGGCGCCCATGCATGCACACTGCGCAGCGTCAACTTGCGCCCCTCACAGTCGCCAAGCGCAGTCAACACCTGCGCAGCAGCACCCATGCCACACCATCTGTTCGCCGCCTGACGTGCGTCTATGTAGGGCCCCAGTCACAGGATCTGGATCTACAGGGCCTCAGATCTCATGCAGATCGTCACCCTCCCAGCCAAGGCTGACCTGGGCTACTCGGCGCTGACGCTGTCACGAAACGGGGAGCTTCTTGCTGTGTGCAGCCGAGAGCCTGACGCGGCGCTCGCTGTGTGGCAGTGGCGCAAGGTGCGCGCGAGGGGCGGGAGCGGCCCATGCCAGCAGGGCCACATTTTAATGTTGTGCGGTCTGCAAGTTGAGCAGCAGACATCAACACTTGCCGCTCTTGCGGACCACCGATCGTGCCTGGCACGTCTGGACCTCCACAAACTCTACAGGAGTCGCTGCTGGCCAGCACCCCGCTCAAGACGGAAGTCAGCCAGGTCAGTTTCCACCCCGTCGATGCAGGCAAGCTGCTTACCAGCAGCCGCCCCAGCTGCAGCGGCGGCGGCAGCGGCGGCGGGGGCGGGAGCGGCGGCAAGGCAGGGGCCGCTGGCAGCGAGCAGGCGCCTGTGCGGCTGTGGAACCTGGAGCGGCTGTGGAGCACATATCACCTGGAGCCTACAAACCTTGGGCTGGAGGGAGGCCGCGAGCCAACATGCCATGCATGGGCGCCCGAGGTAGCGGAGAAGGGCGCTGTGGGGGGCTGGCGGCTGCATCAGCGGCCGACAAGTGTCCTAGGCATGAAGCCTGTCATACTATTCAAACCTTGTGACGTGCTAATGGCCCTCCCCCAGGGCTGCTGTCTTGCTCAAAGCGCGTGCGCGTCGCCGCTTTGGCCGCCTGGCTGTGCGCAGGGTGTGTACGTTGGCTGTACATCAGGGGAAGTGGTTCTCTTGGAAACAGCAAGTGGCCGGCTGCTGGCTTCCACGCCTGCGGGGCAGCCAGCAGCAGGAGATGCCGCGGCCGACAGCAGCAGCAGGAAAGGCGCAGGAGACGACAGCGCGGGGGAGGCCGCGGCGACGGGGGTCTCCAGCATTGCTGTCAACACCGACGCAGTGTTTGTGTGTGGCAGTGGCAGCGAGCGCGGTGCGACACCCCTCAGATGGTTCGCCAGGGGAGAGGGCGGCGGGGCCCTGCGGCAGCTGGGGCAGGCCCAGGGTACCGCAGGTGGGTGATGAGCCGTTTGATGGAAGCGCCTGGCTGGGTGCACAGCAGGTGTTGGTCTGGGGCATCCAATTCCAGCCATCTCAGGAGCGTGCCTGGCCCTGCTGCTGTGTGTGCAGCCAGGCTGCAGCCTGCACGCAATCGGCGCATCCACCCGGAGCACCGGAAACTCTGCGCCCGGAAATCGCAGGGGCCCTCTGCGTCGACTTGGGCGGCGCGTCGCAGCGGGACGCCCTGGTCGCGACGCGCGACGGCTGCCTCGTGCTGATCGCCTCGCCGGGCCGCGGCTCTGCGGCCGCGGCGCCTGTCCAGATCGAGCCTCTTGCAGACTGCCACGCGGGCGCAGTCACGGGCCTCTCGCCGCTGCCCGGCGGCCACGGCAAGGTGCTGAGCGCCGGCGCCGACGGCAGCCTGCGGGTGTGGGACGCTGGCGGCGGCGGGCAGATCGCGGGGCGCCGCGACTTTCCCGCGGCGCGCCTGACGGCGTTGGCGTCGTGCCGCACGCGCGCGCTGGCGGCGGCGGGGTCGGCGCGCGGCGTGCTGCGGCTCGTGTCGACGGCGGACGAGGCAGCGCTGCCCGTCGTCTGGCGCGCGCGGCTGGCGCGCGGACCGCTGACCGCGCTGTCCTTCTCGCCGAGCGGCGCAGTGCTCGCAGTGGCGTGCAGCGATGGGGGAGGCGCGGGCTGCAGCGGCGGCCGCGACCAGGGCGCCAGCCGGGTGGCGTTTGTTCGCATCGGCGGGGGCGATGGGGCAGCTGCCGCGGAGCTGCTGGGCTACGCCGACTGCGGAGACCGGGTCCTGTCGATGGCGTGGCTGCCAACGCAGCCGCGCAGTGCGGGCGGAGACGCAGGTTTCAGTGGCATTGGTGGTGGCGGCGCAGCAGGGGGCGAGCTGGTGGTCAGCTCGAGCAACGGGTTGTTGATGAGCTTGGCAGCGCCTGCCGCAGCAGCACCGGTAGTTCCGTCGGCGGAGGCGGCTGTCGGGGCGATGCTGCTGTCGCCGCAGCAGCTGCGCGTGCGCAGCGTCGCTATCGAGGCCCCCCTGTCATGCATCGAGGTGGTCTGGCAGAAGCAGCAGCAGCAAGGCGGCGCGAGGGGCAACAGCGCGGGCGCCAGCAACGGCGGCAGCGGCGACGGGGGCGGCGGAGGTGCTTGCGTTGCTGTGGTGATCGGGCTGTCGGCAGCTGACAGGCGGCTGCTGAAGTTCGGGCTGCCATCCGACGCAGCGGCGTGGGCCGGCGCCGAGCGCCCCCCACTGCGCAGTGCCGTCGCGGTCGCGGCGCACGACAAGCGCGGCGCCGCCCTCGCCCTCAGCCCCTGCCAGCGGTTTGTCGCAAGCGGCGGCGCCGACGGCTGTGCACGCCTGCGCAACGCGGGGACGCTCCTGGAAGTCGGCAGTGCGCCCCCGGCACCGCGGCAGCAACAGGCGCCGCGGCAGCAGAGCGCGCACGCGTCGTCGGCGGGCGGCGCCATCGCACTTTGCTTCGACGCGGGCGGCGGGTGGCTGGCCAGCGGCGGCGCGGACGGCAGCCTGTTCCTGAGCCGCGTCCTTGGGGAGTCTGGCGGCCTCGGGTCCCTCCAGCAGGTTGAAGCCGATGGGTCAGTGGTAGCAGAGGCGTTCCAAGCCATGGCCAGCACGGACACGCCCGATGATGACGACGAGCCGACCCTGCCGGCCCTGCTCGCCGCCGCCGCCCGCGCGGACGAGGAGCAGCGGGGCGCGGCCGTGCGCGAGGCGACGGCGCGCAGGCTCGGGGAGCTGCGGGCGCGGCTGGCCGAGCTGCTGGGGCGCAACGCGGCGGCGCCGGAGGGGGAGCGGCTTACTCGGGAAGAGGTGATCCTCGACGTCGGGCGGCTGCAGGTGCGGTGGTTAGGTCAGGTTTTCGCCGGGCTCGATGCTTTGCCTGGGCCTCGTAAGGGCTGACCGTGGGTTCCGTCGGGACTGTGGATGAGAAGGGAGGTTGGGGAGCGATGATCAGGGGCAGGGGCGGACTTCGTTGCCCTGTTTGGCACCAGAGGATGACAGGCATGGGTTTTTGTGCATCGACATGTTGTGTTTTGCGCACCACCCGCGGCATCCCGCACCGCAGGAGCTGCGAGCCAAGGCGGCCGCGGAGGCCGAGGCGCTCAAGTCGCGCCTGTCGGACGCGGTGGCGCGGGACGAGATTGTGGCGGCTCGCATTAAGGAAGAGTTTTGGGACAGCATGCAGGCGCGTGGGCACAGGGCTATGTCTTGGCGGCTGCTGCGGCGGAGCGAGGGATTTGGCATGTGTGCTCTCCAAGGCATCACAGCAGTAATCAGATCCAAGGACGAAACACAAATCATATGGTCTTGCAAAAGGAAATGGTGCTGATACTTGCACGGAGGCACAGCAATCTCATGATGCCATCGCCACTGTTTTCAATGTTGGCCCCCCGCCCGCAGGTCAAACCGGCGGCCGTGACGGGCGTCGCGTCGCGCCAGGAGGTCTGGAACTTCCCGCTGCGCGCCGGCGCAGGCGGCGCGTACGCGCGCGTTGCAGCGCTGAGGGCGACAGAGCTGCTGGAGGCGGCAGCGATGGGCGCGCCCGCGGGCGACGACCAGGGGCAGGTGCTCCGGCGGCCTCGCGCTGCGGCGCCGGTCGGGCCCGCGAGCAAGGAGGGTGCGGCGGGCGCCGCTGCTTTGGGTGAGGCGCCGGCGGCCGCCGCGGCGGTGGCGGCTCCCACTGCGGGGCGCGGCAGCGCGTTCGGGAGCGATGCGGGCGACACACCGTCGACCTCCGGCGCGGGCGGCCCTCCGCTGTCGGCCAGGGGAGCCGCGCAGCCGCAGCAGGCGCCGCAGCCGGCCGCGGCTGGTCCGGGCGCGGCAAGCGCACCGCGCGCGGATGACTTGCTGGAGTGTCTAGCTGCGGGGCGGGCCGTAGCGCCCGAGCGGCTGCTGTACGATGACCTTGAAGTGGTGACGCCGGCGCGCAAGGCGGCGCAGGCGGAGATCTACAGGCAGATGGCGCGGGAGCTGCAGTCGAAGTGAGGCAGGCACAGGCGGGGGTGTGGGGTGCAGGCAGAACGGTCGGCGGGACGCTCGCTGTGGAAGTGGGGGAGCGCACTGTGCAGGCGGCGGTTGAGGGAAGACCATGCCCAGGGGGGCGGCGGGGAGCCCTGCTGCTGCCCCTGAGCACCAGGTCGTTTCTTGAACCTTGGTTGATAGTGTGGACGGAAATCTGCATCCTTGAGACTACAAATTGCAGAGCACAGCCCAACAACGGTTGTTCGTGGCAGTGCCTGTTGCACTGCAACGTTGAGCGGCAGCCGGGTCGGCCGTCAAACCGCACACGACCCGCCCACGCAGGTTCAACGCCGCGTTCGACGCGCTGGTCCAGCACAAGCACGCGGACGCCGACAAGATCTCAGATCTGAACGCCCGCCTGGACGATCTAGAGAGGGAGCTCGCCAAGATCAGCGCCGCCGGCGGGTCCGAGGCCGCCGGGCCGGGCGGCGGCGGCACGGCAGACGCGGCTTCGGCGGCGGCGGCAGCGAGCGGGGTCGGGGCGCACGGCGGCGGGCAGCCAGCCGTGGGCGGGTCGGGGCGCGTCGCGGTGCGGTGGGCGGATGTGGAGGATCTCGAGGAGAGCCTGTTCAGCTTCAAGCCCGAGGATATCAAGGTGGGCTCGCACACTGTGACTGCGGCCAGGATGGTTTGGCCCGGGGCGCATCAGCACTGGGATCATGCTTGTAGATGAAAAGACCCCATGGATGTCCCAAGACGTCGCAGACAAAGTCACCTGCACCTAGATTGTCCTCACTAGCAGCAAGGGTCTCATCGTGCTGCACCCCGCCCCTGCGGCCTCCGTGCCAGGCCCCCAAGTACCAGTCCCCAGAGGAGCGCGCCCGCGCCGCCGCCGCCGCCGCGTCCGAGGCGGAGGCACGGCGCCGCGCGGCCGCGGATGACGCATTTGGGCGCGCTCTGGACGACATGATGGGCGGCGCCCTGGTGCGGCCCACCGACGAGGTCGCTGACCTGGCTGCGGCGCGGCCGGCGTGGATGAACGGGAACCCGCAGGCGAGCAGGGAGCTGGTGCAAGCAGGGCGGGGCGGCGGGCGGGGTCAACGGTCCAGCCGTGCCTGGCCGCGCCGCGACGGGCCAGGATGTCGCTGGCGGCTTGCGCAGCGTTTTTGAATCCCAATACATTGCACACGCATGAACACACACACACACACACACATCGTCAACAGCCCAGCAACTCTACCCCCTCACCTTGCTCCCGTCGCCTGCCCGCGCCCGACTGCCGCCCACGAAACCGCAACAGGATTTCACGGAAGACCAGCTGCGCGAGTACAAGGAGCACCAGGCCAAGGAGAAGGCCGCCATAGAGGAGAGGGTCAAGCGGCGCGCAGCCATGGAGCAGGAGCGGCGCGCACTGAGAGCGGCGG